AATACAGTGTCGTGTCCTAGCCCGGACCCTTTGGGTTCCGTGGGCCGGTTCGTTAGCGGGGCCTTGGCGCGAGGCACCCTGTCATTATGCGGCTGGTCTCCATCACCCCCACCAGTACCCAATTTTCGGCGCCCCTCCACAGCACGGCTCGACAAATCCCCCTGCTCCGCAGTCCCTCTTTCTTTCTCCACCGTGCTCTCCTCTCCTCTCATCTCGTCTCTCGTCTCCTCTCCTCTCCTGTCTTCTCTCTTCGCGCCCGGACAATCTTTCACGGCGCTACTATTCTACGCCGCCGCCGCGGCTTCGACGTCCCCGGTGCGTCGCGTGAATCGTCGTGAGAAAGTATACCGACCTCTCTTTCCTCTTGTATGCCCGCGCTTTCCATTGCACGGCAATGCACCCGCTGAAACGTGTCGGCGCGTTACGTGTCCACGGTTGTTAACTCTTTTCAAAGCGGAATAGGAAGGGACCTTTGAAGTGTCATGGAACTCTGCGAAAATTGTATCTGTGACGTTTGTAAATGCCCTTCACGTTTTGGTTATCATTGGTTGTTGGGTTGAGCGAAATACTTTGTATCCAACACCTTTGGCCGCGTCGAGTTACAGAAACGTATATCACTCATCTCTTGATCGTGCCACACCAACTTAATTAACACGCGCATAGACTTTAGGAGCGATGTGGTGGCGAAAACCACCCCCAGCACATACATAAATCAGAATAGAAATAAGTAATTCAGCATAGCGCGAGAAATGATCAGTCATATCGTGAAAACACATATATTCCCATATCTATTCTTCATTTTTTAGCTTGTAAGTTCTATCTAATCGGGAACAAAGTAAAGAAAGAAGAAATATTCCATTGGATGAGAGCAATAGATAAAAAGGATAGAAAAAAATTGAAAGAGTGTAGGTGAAAGAGAACAAGACGAGAACGCCTACGATTATCACGCGATATCGATACAGTCAGGAACTTAGACACTCATTTTCTCGCCTCCAAATAGCGTTTTTACGAAATTCGAGCGAGCCTCACGCTTGCGAAATACTAGAGGCAGTCACGACTGCTTGCGGATATTCGAAACTTGTAACTCGATCGCCTGGCAGCGTCGTCGTCGTGCCTACGCTCGCGAAGCAACACTCGTATTCTAATCCCCCACTTTCGTGTAGCCGCGACTTTGCAAAAATTCGATTTCTTCAGAGCAATCCTAATCTCACGATGAAATTACGAGCGATAAGTCATTTCGAGACGCCAGTAAGCGCTTTGCTAATCCTTTCCCCCGTGGCACCGTTCACGTACAGAATAAGAAGTTTCAATCGTTGAAATGATATTGTACATTTCGTAACCAATCATTCCGTGACACATCTGTCTCATTCTCCGCGGGATAGCGACGCGAGTCCCGCGTGTCATTTCACATCCCTCGAAATGTCCATTCCGTTGCATTGTAACGTTTCTTAGGGACAAAAATAGAAGAAGGAACACGGCCCGAGACTGCCGCTAATCTCCGGCGGAAGTGGGTCGACGAAACCGCGACTTCCACTCCGTATTTTTCTAAGAGCGGCGGTCCATCCAAGGAGGATACCTCGTCCTTGGACCCCTCCGCGGGTGTAGGTGGTCCCACGACCGGCAATCATTTCGCTTAATGACGAGAGCACGGTCCTTTCCTTTCTTCGGTCTCAGATTATCGCACCGTGTTTCTTCCCTTATATCCATGGACCACTTCGGTACCTCCTCTTCTTCTTTGCGTCCTCGGTCTCTGCCCCCGCTACCACCTTTTATCCCCGAACTCTGTAATTTTCCTCTAGCGACCGTGCCACCACGTCGCGCCGAAATTGGTGTACGTTGGAACGATTTCGTGGAAATGTGCGTCGTCGTGAAAAGGGTGGGGGATTGGACACGACGATGGTGACGGTGGCACTTCCATCGCGAGCTCGACCTCGGGAGAAGAAGAGGAGGACGAAGGAAAGGAAGAGAAGATTGGGCGAGAACGCGAAGGCGAACGGAGCCGAAGGAGAACGACGAGAATTAGGAGAGGAAAGGTAATAAGTAGAGAAGAGCGAGAGGCAGATCAGAAGAGAGGAAGTTCTCGTTCCGAGAACAGTCGTTTGATGAGGAATCGTTCGCCAGTACCGAACACTTCTCAGCGGCCTTCCTCTTGGCGGAGGTTTGCAGGTGCGCGCCGATCTCTCGCGGTGCCGTAGGGGCGCAGGCAAGCGTGACAACACGCAACATTTCTTTCTATCATGCCAAAAATGATACACATTGGCCGCAGATGGAAGTCATTATTATTACAAAGAAGCGTTTTTGCTGCCGACCGTCTGTCGATGCCGAAGCCATCGTCGCTGGATAACGCGAAGATACGTTGACGACTTACCGAGAAGTTTTCTCACTCTCTCTTTCTCGCTCTCTTTGCCGCAGATTAAGTTGCGCAACGCGAAATTGGCGCAAGCCGAATCGGCGCACATTCCCACGTCATTAAAACTATTTACGTGTACACCAAACTCGAATCACGCTCCCCGCCTTCGCGGAATTAGCGCGCGACAGGCATGAAGCGCGTCGTCGCGCCAGAATCGTGCATTATTCCTCCGCGTCGAGTGACTTCCGCACAAGAGACTCTAATTTCTCGGGAAATATTCGCGCGACGCCCCTATAACGTGCATCGCGCGTTATCGGCCCCGCGCGAGTCTCGTATATACAAGCCCGCTTCTCGCTCCGCTTCCAGCACCTGCGAGAAAAGCCGGGCGGTGTGCGCCCGTTGGCCGAGCAAACAATACGGACGATGATGCACCGTCCCGAGCGCATTGTCCGCGGCGAGTAGTAGTAGGCGGCGGATTTATCTGCCTACTCGTAGAGTCAGGTAGAAAAGAGAAAGAGAGAGAGAGGGGAGGGAGCAAGAAAGAGAGAGAGAGAGAGAGAGATAGATACATAGATAGAGAGCGAGCGAGCGAGCGAGTCCAGGGGTCCTCGACCCCCGGGACACGTCGCGTCGCCGCGCGGTCGGCTGCCTGCCGCCGTCGGAACCGATGGATCTTCCTTTCGTTCCGGGCTGATTTTACGCGGCCAGTGGCAGCCACGCGGTGATCTACCAGCCGTCGATAACCCTGCGAAATAACAAACCGCCGTGCGCGCGCTTCCTTGTGACGTCCCGCCGGCGCGGAGCGGAGCGTATTAGTGAATCGTCGTAATGGCCGATCGCGAAGTACGCGTTGCCATCCGTTTCTCGTTCGCTGATCTACGGTTCTACGCTCGCTGATCGGCGTCCATTATCTCGTCGTAATTGTTGCGCCAAACATTTAACTTTCCGTCGCCGTTGCGTGCTTGGCGCGCGAGTACTCCAACGAGGCGCTGCGGAAAGGATGACAGTCTCGCATTAACGATATCTCGTCTCACGAGGGCGAGCGCCTTGTATTTTTTATGATGCTGTGATTGCGCGACCGTGCGCAGGATGTCCTGCGACACCGTAGAAGGATGCAGACGCTTTGGGCGATCGGTTGGCTGTAATGCCGGGGAGAAGGAAGTAGTTGTAACATCGAATCGTTCATGCACGTAACAGTTGCTGGACCAGTAGTTGATATCGGAGAAACGACACGCGCGCGTTCACTTACGACATAAATATTGTAATTTTCAGTATTTCTCGACATATATAGACAGTCCGTGATAATAGTGCCGTGAACTATTAACTAGAAAATTTATCATTCGTGAGATCACTTCTCGTCCGAGATATAAATTATCGCTCCCCTATGCGTACACGCTAATACGCACGCTCTTCCTCGCCCTCCTCACATGCGAGATATATCATGCGCGTTTTTTTGCAACAGGTTGAAGTCTTTGGAGTCTGAAATCTTATATCGTCCGACGTGATATCTCTCATACGACGTACAACTGACGCTAGCCTCGGTTTCGTTGCGGTTAACAGAACATCAGAATATTAATATGCCGTAGAAAATATGTTCAGCAAGGTCTAACACATTACAAGACACCACTACGCATTGCGTAGCCACGTAATAATGTAAATTCACGTTTTAGATAAAAATCGCGTGTTGAAATCTGAAACCTGGATCGTTGTCAGACGTCGCACTGTGACAATTCGGGCAATTTCGTGCGATTTTTCATCTCAGATTCCAACACACACGCAAAAAAAATCTTAATTCGTATAACTGAACGAGAACTAGATGGAAAACTCACTGAAAAGAAATGATAATATCTCTGTTACCGAAAACATTCGTCTGAATACTCAGTTGCGTTCGATTAATACAACTAAGAATGATTGACTGAGTGGAAACATCCTAAACGAATTTGTTTTTTCTTCTCTGGTCCCCGGGTAAAAGAAAATCCGGCTACACTAACGCAGTTGTTTTTCCTGTACACAGTTGCAATTTGTCCCTACTACTTTAAAGATCTGGCGCGTCACATCGCGGTTACAACGTTATGCACTCCCGCTATTATCCTCCTCCCGATTCGCGTGGTACGCGTTTCTAGGTGACGGCACGTCACCCCGTGGCCGCTTTTCTCGTCACGTCACGAAATTCCAGGACCTTTGGCACGGTCGTACAAGCGGCTCGTAGGGCTGAGCGCGGAATGAGCGCCGACGGTAAGTCAGTTCTTGGCATACCGAGCGCTCAGGTAGGTAGATAGGTAGGAAGACGGTGGAGAAGGTGGAGAAGGAAAGGAAAGCGGGAGTGCGAGCGAGTCGGCATGCGAGCAGGCAGGCAGGCAAGCAGGCGAACAGGCAGGCGAGCAGGCAGGCGAGCAGGCAGGCGAGCAGGCAGGCGAGCAGGCAGGCGAGCAGGCAGGCAAGAGAGTTTGGTATGGTCTAGCTGCTCGCTGCCGCGAAGCGCGTTGAATGCCGGGGCCCCGGTGTATCGGGGCCTGGTACCGCCGCCGTTCCCCTCTCCAAGATGGCCGCCGGTTGGGTCCAGCCAAGTCCCCCTGACCGAGCCAGGCAAGTCCGCCGAGTCAGGGGAAGGGTAGGCCTTGCAGGTGCCGCCATGTCAGTGCATGCCTAACCTCGAAGCCGCGCGGAACGGACGTTGGGCCCGAGAACGCGACATCTCGTGCTACCGCCGTGCTTAAGGGGCTGCTGTTTAGGCCCCGTCGCAGTTCGCGCCTACGGATATCCGTCGTGGGCTTAGAACCGGACCGATCTCGTCCTTCGGTTAAGACGGAGTCGTGCCGCGTAACGGTCCGGAGCGATATACCGAGTGTTCTCTCTCTCCGGTCGAGAGGAACCAACGCGGCCGGAGACATCAACGCGTGGACGGAGAGAGAGAGAGAGACGGTTCGTCGCACGGACGGCACGCGTTCGGCCGTGCCATCGCGCCGCGAAGAGACGCGTACGTGAGTCTGCGAGCGTGAACCGTAAACGCTCATCGTGTTTTATGCACGTGTGTTTCGTGTACGAGGTCGGGCAGAAGCGCGTTACTTGCGCGGGATTAGCGCGTGCATCGGCGACGAGTGTGTACGTTGACAGTTTACCTGTTCACGAGGACCATTTCGACAGCCTGGTTCCTCGCCTAATCATTCGCACTCTGTACTCAGATTTGATCGACGAGCCGGGACTTACAAGTGGACGATTCTCGGGGATCCGGCTATGATGACAGCCACGACGTTTGATCCGGACCGACGTGGTGAAACGAATTAGATATCCAGAAAAAGAGAAGATCCGCGAGGTTCGCGACGTAGGATCACGTCGAGAACGTGTCCCAAGGACAGACGCGCGAGGTGTCCGACGGGACGAGACATGATCGTCACCATGTACGACGCGAGACGATCGCGCCAAGTTCGCGACCGGTCGTGCTGATCGTCCGACTATCGGTCGTGGATCTAATGCGAGGAATGTGCCATATCTCGCCGTCGAGATATCTCCAGTGACAGCGGGTGTGCAGCGGGTAGAACTAGCGGGTAGAGCGAGAGAGCTCTGGTATCAGTCGCGAGGCAGAACGAGGAGAAGAGAGGAGAGCGAGAGAAGAGGAAACGGAGCAGCGCGGCAGAGAGTTGTCCGCTACGTTCGTCCGGCGAAAGAATCTCCAACGACGCTGGTATGCCTCCGAGGACTGTACCGGAGAACAGCAGCTCGCGCGCGGCCACGGAAGGTCGACGATGCGGTGAAATCGCTCTCTGCGAGTTCTAAGTGAACGTCCGTTCTCTCCTCGCGAGAGAGGGGTGGTAGTACGCGTGTGTACGCGCCGGGTGGAAGTGATACACAGTCAATAGCAAGGATAAAACTGAGTGATTGTGATTGATTGGTGTGCTGGTGCTAAAAAAGAAAGAAAAAAGGTGGGTGATCACATAAAGGTGCCGGTGGAACGCGCGACGGTCTCGTAGTGTTTGTCATTCGCGGACAACGGCAAGTTTTGGCGGCGGAAGGAGCGGCACGCGCGCGCGGAACCGTACGAGGACTTGGTCGTCGTGAGACAGCAGGAGCCGCGAGAGGAAATAGCAATAGACTACACTTGGCCCGCTCTTTCTACCTCGGCCTCTCGCGACACTTGGCCGCGTAGGAATGGAAAGATCGAGATAATATCGCGAGACGGGAGAGGAGGTGAGGCGTGGAGGCCGTGGCGGTGTTGGAGGCCCCAGGATGTGGCATCTGCTACTGTTCCTCGTCCTGGGAGCGACCCTCGCCCCAGGCACGCGACCTGAGCGCGTGATATACCTGGAGGTCTCCGAGAATGCGCTGCCCGGCACCAGGGTAGGCTTCATCGACAGCGACACCTTGCCGCTCTTCGTGATAGTGCCGATCCCCGGGTCGTCGATGGAGACCGATTTGGAAGTCATCAAGGAAACGGGCGAGGTGAAGACGAAGGTCCCGTTGGACCGCGAGACCCATCCGTCATATAGCCTACTGGTGTTGCCGCAGAGCATACGGGTCGTCGTGAACGTGCTTGACGAAAACGACAACGCGCCCACCTTTCCCGTGGGACACGTGAACGTGGAGTTCCCGGAAAATTCGCCACGCGACGCCAAACGGGCGCTACCGCCGGCGCAGGACCCCGATCTCGGCTTGTACTCCACGCAACGCTATGAGATCGTGTCGGGCAATCACGGCGACGTGTTCAGGCTGTCGCAGCATCGCGGTCGCGATGGCGTTCTGTACCTGGACCTGCAAAACTCCGGCTCGCTGGACCGAGAGGCGCGTTCGCGCTACCATCTGGTGATCGAGGCCCTTGACGGTGGCACGCCACCGCTTCGCTCGAGCCTCTTCGTGAACGTGACGGTGCAGGACGTCAACGACAACCCTCCCATCTTCAACCAGACGAGATACGTGGCGAGCGTGCCGGAAAACGCGACGGTCGGCACGGCCGTGCTGGCGGTAAACGCGACCGACGCCGACGCCGGCGACAACGCTCGCATCGAGTACTCCATCAACCGGCGGCAGTCCGATCGGGAGGAGATGTTCCGTATTGACTCGCAGACCGGCATGGTCTACGTCAACAAGGCTCTCGATTTCGAGTCGAAGGAACGACACGAGCTGGTGATCGTCGCCCGGGACTGCGGCGCTCAGCCGTTGGAGGCGAGCGCCTTCCTTTCCGTGCGCGTGACTGACGTCAATGACAATCAGCCGGCGATCACCGTGATCTTTCTGTCGGACGACGCAACTCCCAAGATCAGCGAGAGCGCGCAACCCGGCGAGTTTGTCGCGCGGATATCCGTCAGCGACCCCGACTCCAGAACGGAGTACTCGAATGCAACGGTCACGTTGGCCGGCGGAGAAGGCCACTTTGGCTTGACCACGCGGGACAACATTATATACCTGGTGGTAGTGGAGAGGCCGTTAGATCGCGAAGAGAAACCCGTCTACGAGCTGTCGGTGGAAGCGACGGACGCCGGCACGCCTCCTCTGAGGGCCGTGCGCACCTTCAGGCTGCTCGTCACCGACGTCAACGACAACGCGCCCAAGTTCGAGCAGGAGACGTACGAGGCTTACCTGCTGGAGGCCTCCGAGCCCGGCGTGTCGGTGCTCAAAGTGACCGCGAGCGATCTCGACGAGGGCGCCAACTCGGCCATCCGTTACTCCCTGTTGAACAGCACGTGGTTCGCGATCGACGAAACGACCGGACTCATCACCACGGTGACCCACGTGGACTGCGAGGCCGACCCGGCGCCGATTCTCGTTGTGATCGCGACGGATTCGGGACGGCCGCCGCTCAGCAGCAGCGCCACCGTGTGCGTGACGATTCACGATTTCAACGACAACGAGCCCATCTTCGAGAAGCCGCTCTACAACGCCACCGTGCCGGAGGACCTGCCTGTCGGCGACTGCTTCCTCAAGGTAGGATCAATTTTTCCTCACGCGTGATTCCGCGCTGTGAAAATATGACGCGGGGGGGACGCGTTTCTTTCGGCCGCGTCGCGATGTCGGCTTGTCGAATCGCGCGACAGGTGACAATGACGCGCGAGTCATCTCGGATGACTCGCGCGTCATTGTCATTGTCATGGCTCGCGTTCTCCCCTGCGATATGTTTGCGTTGCGCTTCTATCAAGCGGGCGTGATGCCGAAGAGGGGCCGCCTCGACGCCGCGCTCGCACCCCGCATGAAGTTGTACAGCAACGACGCTAACGGCAATCGTTTCGTCAGCCCGGCTGCAACGCAAAAAGTTGCGGAATAGGTCCGCGGGCTGTTGTTGCAATTTTGTGAATTGCTTGTCACGCCGCTTGATATCTATATATGACGCGCACGGGATATTTTCCACTTGTCGGGACGCCCGCGTTCGCGGGCGTTGCGTCGACGGGCCGACGCCGTCATCTCTCTTAACAAGCGCGCCTCTGTCAGTGTCTCTCCGCGTAATTGATATTTATATCCAAAGAGCGCTCAATTCGGCCCCTTCAAGTATTTCATCTTAATTTGTTGTACCCTTCGTGTCACACGCGAGAAAGCGCGCTCACCGATTGCGCAGAGGTTGCAGCGTACGCTCGAATGTTTACGACGCGAAATCAGAGTTTAATTGACACGCGCTCGAGAAGAAATCGCTAATCTTTCCCGTCGCTGCCGTGAAGCCGATGAGAATCGGCCTCTACTCACACTGGACCTCCTAATTGATCCGTCATCGGAATCGATTGCGCGAGACGTTTACCTGCTGGTCGCGCGTGCGCGCGCGCCAGCTCTTTCGCTCGTTCGGTGCGTGAGCCCCTACAAATTAATATCTTAAATGTCGCGCCGGTGCGAGAATGACGGTATCCCGTGGATACTTGGCGTCTAACCCTTGCATAAGCCTCGTCGTTTCGCGTAAAGTCGCTAGGATCGCATTAAAGGTTCCTCACGCAGTCCGGGCGAAAGGCCACGGAACGCTCGTAACCAGCCGAGCCGTCAGGCACGTACGTTACGCCGGGAAAGCCGTAATTGGTACTCGAGAGAATCTCGCGAGAGAGGCAGAGAGGTATATAGAGTAGAGAGCAAGAGAGAGAACGAGACGAGAGGGGTTTTCTTCGGCGTGTTTCAATTAGTACCGCGGGTATACCTGGGGAGAGAGCGTTATCGATCATCGTTTTTTATTCCGCGAAAAGGCCCGGCGTGCGCGCTCGCGCCGATGCGGCCGGGCCGGAGGTGGAATAAATCCGCGCGTTCATTTGCATGCGGCCCGCGCGTTCTCCGCGCGAGCGGTCCCTCTCACCCTCCCACCGCGAGAGAAAGAGAGGGAATACGAGTAGGAGCACCGCGCGCGGCAGTGCGACCTGAATGAGGAAAGTGTTGCGTACGTACCGACACACACCGGCGACATGAATCGCTCAGGGGCGTAACGTCGCCGACCTGAGACTCTCAGACCCGAGAGAGTCGGCAACGCGCGCGTCTTTCCGGCGACTTCTCCGCGACTTCCCTCGTCTCACCTCATCCTGTCTTCTCTCACCTCGCCATGCCTCGCCTCGCCTCGCCTCGTCTTACCTCACCTCACCTCACCTCACCTCACCTCACCTCAGCTCACCTCGCCATGCTGCGCCGTGCCGCACCGGCGCGCGTATATCGACCACGTGGCGCTCGCGGAGGGAATCCCGCTGACGTTCCCTTAGCCAGGCCGCCGTGGCTACGCGCCGAGACGCTCTTCCCCGGAGCGGTGTTAGAGCGCGAACAAGTTAGTCCCGACACCGATGGTGCTTTACGAGCCGACGCGTCGGTACATCCTGCCGAGCGAGCGGCACGCATTTGTATACGCCGCGGCGAACGCGGGATAACGACCAGGGGATGATTCCAGGGCGGAATAAAGGACAGATCCCGGAAAGGATGGGGCGCGACGTCGCGTCCGCGAAATTTGAGATATCGCGTTTCGCAAAGGCGATTACTCTCGTACACCGGCTGTCGCGAATGATCGTATTGCGCGTTTGACGTAATCGTCGAAAGTAATGTTACACCTTGGCGCGCCGCGACTCGATAACGCGATCGTAATGAGGCGGAGTCACGGACGCACGCGCGAAATGAACGAGCGGCGTTAAATGCTTCCCAGCTCTTCCCTCTTGCAGACGCGTTTTCGCCGCTGAAAGCCGCCGAAAGTGAAAGTCTGATGTAACGCCTCGATAACGCCTCAAGACTAATTCGTCGGAATCGACGACGCGCCGTGATTGCCGACGGTATCGCACCGGCCGTTAAATCGCCCCGATACGGTCGATGCGTTTCTCCACGCTTTGACGATGAGACCGCGATGAAGTGCGCGCGATAAAGCGCTCCTCCACCGCGTACACTCATATGTGCGCGATCGGTGGTCAAGTGTCGCAGCGGCACGCGTCTGCGGGACACCCGGCAGAGAGAACTTCGCGAACGCGTCCGCCATTCATATAACGCCGCGATCTTACCGCGTAGGACTGTGGATTCCGCGTGAATCAAACAGAGAGCAAGGGCAGGAGCGTGAGATGAAGGGAGAGAGGAGGAACCTCTCCCTCTTCCTTTCCTCTTGCCACATCCGCCTGTCTATCTCACGCGCGCTCGCTCGACCCTTTTTTGCCTCGCTGGATTGTCATCCGCGTGCGGTGCGAGCGCGGCGAGGTACGACGCACCGCCGAATGCCGATGGAAATTGCATTCGGGAATGAGCGAGTGCATTTTTCAATCGGCCGACGCACCGCGCAAGGCACGACGAACGCATCCGGCGGGCCGTACGCGGACCACGCGTGCGTCTGTCTGTCTGTGCGTGCGTGCGTGCGTGCGTATGTACGTGCGTCCATGCGTGCATGCGTATGCTGCAATGCGACCCGATGTTATATATATATATATATATA